TCACCAAAGGTAAGTACCCAAATTACAAACGAAATGAGAATCTGTGTGTACACAACACACTAGGAAATAAAGATGTAGATGTGGTTTTTCTGACGCGCTGGCTTGGTTAAATGAATTTAGTAACATGGTTGTTGAAACGATAAAAAAAAAATTACAATGAAAAATGAACGAACGAACAAACGGTGATTGAGCTGAAAAACGAGCAAACTGAATGCGAGAGATGAGAGAATATTTTGCACACACAAAAAAATGAAAATACCCACAAAATTTCCGCGATTTTAATATGCATATTAAGCTTCATTGTTGATGCACTGGGCAAAATTCTTCTCTTGTTTGCATCAGTTTTTCTCTCTAGCAAAAACTTTTCCAATAGTCAAACAAACCAAAACAAACAAACAACAAGAGCGAGGTTCGCAAACGTACCTGTTCGTGATTCAATTCCGAATTGTTGCGTATTGAATGACTCATGGTCGAAATATTGTGTATGTGTGACTCATCGCAAGTCAATGGTGGAAAAAAAAGTGGCACTGTGAATGCCGGGAGAGAGAGAGAGACAGAGACCTTGATTCAATACGCCAGAATACACGCTGATTTGTGTTGTCTATCGCGCAAAACCGTTTTGCTTTAGCATACATTTTAATGAGGACAGAGTTTCATGTGGCTGTAATCACACATTTCGCTGTTGTGTGACGAAACCAACACTGTTACACTGGGTTGTTGACAATGTAAAAATACAACAATCACTTACAAACTAGCAAAATGGAATGGAATTTCTAGTTGAGTAAAAATTCAAGTGAAAACACAGAAAGCCAACGCAGTTTCCTTCGGTTCTTTTCCATTGGCTTGCTTCCACTTGAGAAGCTTAAATTCAACGTTTTTTCTTTCTTTCTTTCTTTCTGTTGAATTGTGGGCCATTGCTCAGCTGTTGCTCAGCGCTCGTCATCCAACTTATAAATGTATTTATATATAAAAAATTCAATAGTGCTTGCATGTCGATTTTGCTTTTTAATGCACTTATCAACATGTAAAAGAGGCAGAGAAGAAAGAAAATCAACAATCAGAGCCACAATGATAGAAACCACGCACATTTCAAAACAGATAGAGACTGCCTGATTTACTTGAGGATCCCGCCCGCGAACGCGAGCGCTCGCATTAACAAGCTCATTTGAAGCGCGCACTCACACACACACACACACACACACAAGCGAACGAATGAAGAGCACAACAAAAAGTAACAACAGTGAAGTGCGAAATGAAGTCAAGTGTTTCCCTTTTCAAAATCAAAACTATAATTTTCTGATCATTAAACCGTTCGATGGGTAATTTTTATCCATGCTGCACACATAATTATAATTTTTCGTTCGTTCGTTCGTTTGCAGCTCGATCCAAGCGAGTGTTTTATTTTTGTTTCGTTCGAAAAAAAGGCGATTGCCATTGCCAACGACCTGAACTGCACTCGATGTTGAAGCGCCTCAAAGCCATTGTACTGCGCCCGAAATTCATTAGATTTTCTATTCGAAATGACTTCTTTTGTATGACTATGTGTGTGTGTGTGTGTTTGCATTTTCTTTTGTGTCATTTGATCTTGTGATGAAAAAAAAGAAAAAGAAAATCAAAACTCTGTGATTACTTTATTGTGCGATGCACAAACATTTGACATAGTTTGAAGAGAGAACCGTAAATAATAATCAAATAATTGGGGAGAATGCTCAATCCAATTAGCAACAATGTTTCAGCGCAGAGTGTGAATGAAAATGAAGCTGATTATATAGTGTGTTTGCTTGTGTTCACTCACTCGCTTTATAAATAAATATTTATGGAATGGAAATGATTTTCGGATTTTTCTTGACTTCAACACAAACACAAACACACATACACACACAAACCCAGCGAAAAAATGCAAGAGATGGATTGGCTTTCATTCATCACACAATTGCGTAGCGTCGAACCGCAGCACGTTATCACGAACTCCGATGATAAAGTAAAGTGAAGAATGGATTTGAACGCGAAAATGAGAGAATGAAAAAGAAGATCGCTTAACATTTCCCTTTGTGCATTAAGATTTTCGTTTGAAAATATGAATGGCAACACGAAGGGGAGCAAGAGAGCGGGAATAAGGGCGCGTTTCTCTTCTCCTCTTTTTCATTCGTGATCATCAACAACAACAACAAACGGCTGATTGGCATTTTCGAGTGAATTTGTGTGAATACAGCAAAAGCAAACATTCCTGGCTCATTGTGTAATGCATATCATTTCGGACGCATTTAAACACGAACGCATACGATCACAATATGGGCAACAAATTGTGGCTTTGCAATGCAACCAAGTGTTGAACAGAATATTGAAAAGAAAAATAAAATAAAACGAAAAACACATACTCACATCAAATTAATTAATTTCCGCACAATTATTATCATCATCATCATGTGTGTGTATGATGAATGAAACATCGACGGTATTCACCCACACTGGTAAGTACACAGAGGCACACGCACTCGCGCTCACGCTCATAACAAAATACTCAATGCATTGCGACTGAATGACTGAAATCAATGGTACCGTTCATTGAGTTGTGCGTGTGCAATGGAAAATAAAAATTGAAATCTGTCGGCCAAACTGACAATGAGCAATGAAGATCGACATACGCGGATCACTTAACCGACACTCCATTCATTTATCAAAGCAAAGAGAGGAAAAAAAACAGAGTGAGAGAGAAGCCTGCTATGAATCACTCAACAATTGACGGCAAACCATGAAATGCTGTCAAACTCTTCTTTCTCTTTATCGGCGTCGATACTGCATTATCTGCTCTAATCGTATGGATTATCATTAACCAACCGATTGGATTGGCGAAATTTTCATTCATTTTCAATTTTTCTGCCGTGGACACTCAATTTTTTTTTCCCCGAGAATTATTCAATTTTTCTTTTTGGTTCAGTTTGCCGGCTCATTCTATTATTTTCATATTGGTTTCATTGGTTAATTTTGGCCATTCATTTTATTGTACGCTTTATTATGTGGACTTTTACATTTGGCGCACCATAACTCTTTTTATTCATTCCTTTCTTCTTCTTTTTTTCGTTTTTTTTTTCCTTTTTTCGTTGTATTTATATCGATGCGTTCGTTGTTGCTGCTGTTGTTGTTGTGATTGTCTTTTTTTTTGTGCGCGAGTGTATTTGTTTTGTGTGTATTTGTATCATATTCTTTAATTCGTTTCCATTTCGTTATGTATCAGTGAGTTACCAGAATTTACGTTCCAATTATCGTCCGTTCACTCGACAGCAGCCATTTGTGTAAGCGGCCAATTGTTAGATATGCGAACGAACACAGGCTGTTGCTGTTTCGTTTGCTCTTTTTCCCGATTAGCCGCTTTAAAGAACTTTACTTTTCTTATTTTTTGAGTTATTGTTCGTTGCTACTATTTGGCGTTTAATTGGTCTACGTGTGTATTCTCGACGCGAATTAGATTTACCAAGCATTCAAAAGTACTCCAAATCAAAAGAAAAAAGACCAACGATGAAGAAGAAGAAGAACTGATGTTGTGCTTTTTTCAATCTTCGCTTCTTTCATTTCCATTTTCTGTTCATATTATTGGATACTATAATTATTTGCGCTTTTCTATTTCCATTTTCTACTGAATGTTGTGTGGATGAGTGTGTGTGTGTGTGTGTCTTGCTCTCTCTCTCCTTCTCTCTCTCCACATCTAATGACGTTGCGACTTCTTCATTCGCATCGTTTCACAGAACAGTGTGTTGTGTTGTTGTTGTCAATTTTCCAACGCCACCGCTGTTCACTTCCAAAAATGTTCGAAATTTTCGAGTTTCACCAAGACACTTTGTCTCTACGAAAGCGAAGTGAAAAAGAAACGTTCGAGATTATCGCTGAGCTTGATGAGCTGATGAGCGATCTTAGATGTGATTTTCTTGGAAATGCCAATTGATCAAGCTTTTACATCAATCAGTATTCTTTTTTCATCTTCTCAAATATCTCATCCGATTGAAAAGTTATGAATCGCATATATTTTGTTTGTCGGATGCTATGGATTCAAAGTCAAAATCCGCAAATAGTAACAGCAAATACGCAACACAGTGAGAGAGAGATAGAAAAGAAAAAAGATCGGCACATCGTCTACATGTGAGTACACTTATTTTTCGGGTTACATATCATGTCTTTCTCTTGTTTTTTTTTGCTTTCATGACCTCTACCGAATCGCTGGTGATGTAATTAAAGTCGTCATCGCACATGCAAAACATTACACGATGCCGAAAACATGAAAGAAAAGCAAAGTACACACATTCGAAGAGATTTTCCAAAGAAATTCGGTGTACATTTGTTTTACAGCTAGACTGCAGTTATGTGCGAAACAAAAATGAGGAAAAAAAAGAACCGTAGTCGGGGCTGGCGTTTTGTGAATTGTAATCAACCTGACGACCGTCTACAAGTTTATTTAAAAGTACATATTTACACACAAACAACCATATTCATTGTCCGGTTAATTGTTTTCTGTAGCGACTGAAGCTGCACTGCCTCTTGTATTGCCTTGCTTATGCCGTGTGTATTTTCGTTTGTGTTCGGTTGTGCGGCTCGTTTCTTGTTTCGTTGCAGCTACACGCTGCCCGGTTGGTGTTTTATTATTCTCGATTCATTATTCTTATTCTGAATTGCGACATTTTTTGGACTTTAATCGGCTAAGAAATTCACACAGACATGCATTTCATGCACGCTGCTTACAACAGACATCAACCAAAAGACATCAATCATTATTACGCCAAGATTATTGAATTTTTCCATGATATGACTCACTTTTGGTGCAAAGTTCACTCGCCACTTATTGTGTACGAGTTGGAAACAATTCAATCGTTGTCTTGTTTATTCAAATCCAATTTAATTAATTCAAATTCGCGAATTTTAGGTCATTCGATTTGGATCAAATAGTAGCGTTCAGCTACTTTAAATAGACACGAGAGGAAAAAAACAAATTGAGTCAAAACTCAACTTACCGTTATTTTTTTCGAGCGCACTGTACACTCTGGTGGCGACTTCATCTTCTTCAGCATAGTCCCATAGACCGTCACAAGCCAAGATGAGAAAGTCTTCTTTTCCATTTAATGTGATGCCGGCAATGTCGGGCTCACCAATAACGACATCTTTTAGACCATAATCACCAATAGCTCTTGAAACGGCCAAACGACCGTTCACTCGATAACAACCAGCCGGAAATTCAAGCACACAACCGCCCATTTGTTCGATACGAAGCCGTTCGGTCTGTAATGGGATAGAGAAGCAAAACAAAAATGCAAAGTTTCATTTCAATTTTGACAAGATGGCGCTAGTGTATGGACAGCAACGGCAACAACCACTTTCTTTGGATTGATCAAGTTTCGATGCATACCTGTGAGTCAGGCTTATGTGGATTGACTATTTGCAGTACACGATTTTGTGAAACCAACAGAGCTTTTGAATCACCAACCCAACCAACAACCAGCAATCCTTCAGTCGGACGATATAGAGCACATAAAGCTGTTGTACCTGATTGCAATTTCTGGAAACCAAACAAACAACATGTATCATATGTTCAAAGTTTACACCGAAAAAAGTTCATCACATGTTTTATGGATGCGACTCACTTGTTTTTTGGACTTTTCAATGAATTTATCGTCTGTATTGAGAAAAGCTTCGCGCAGAGCTTGATGAGGTTGAGTTGGATAAAATTTGCTGGCTACAATTTCACAATGTAAATGTGATACACTGTATGCGGCTGCATCGGTGCCACCATGACCATCGAATATTGCATAGTAACTCGTGATATCGGAATCCTGTCAGGAAAAAAAAAACATCGGCAAAATTTAATTTGGTGAACATCGATTTGCAATTTGTAAATTGGCAATGAATCCAATTAGAAAGGAACAAAAATGAAAAGCGACATACCTTGATTCCAAACACCGAATTAAAGTCATCGATAATAATGTGGCGATCTTCCATGTGTCGTCGTGTATTTTTTATACCTTTGGCCGAATACAAGGCGGGCCGCTTCAACGGCGGTGACGGAATCAACTTATCCAATTGCAAATTATCCAAAAGGCTTTGGCATACATCATTTATTTTCGATATGGATAATTGCATTAATTTCAGCGTTTGATATTCTGTCAAAGATAACCGAAAAAAAAATGTTTGATTACATACAATTCTTTTGCTCTCTATCGCCTTCATCGGCTTTTGCCTCTACTCAAATGTCTTGTTTATGAAAGAAAAAAGACAGAAACAAATCTGCGTGCGGATGATTGATTCAATACATTGACGATCAATTTACATTATTAATATTCAATAACTCAAGGCTGGATTCGAATTGCATGTAATGAGCGGAACAGCAACAACACAAGATATGAATGGTAAAATGGGTGTGAATGAACAGTGAACACTTGAAAGCAATTCCGAAAATGGATCGGATAACAATTGGTTTTTTTTTTCCTTCATTTTGTTCGATTTGAATATAACTTGATCAAATCAAAGGCCCCATAAACCGATTGACACTTTTTGTTCCATCCTCTCCCTTTTTTTGTAGCCAATTATTGTCTGGAAAGAGACAAGTCGCATAACACACCGTTGATTTATTAGTTTTCAATGTCGGTTTCGTGTTGGTGCGAAATTTCATTTGTGTAGCACACGTTGCAAATGTAATTTGGTTAAAGTGGCTTATTGTTTGAAATGCGAAACGATGCATGTCGAAAAGAAAAATTAGAATTTTTACTGCAATAAATCAGCAGAATTTTCGGTTGAAAAAGTAGAAGCAGAAGAAGAAGAAGAAGAAGAAGAAAAAGTAACGTTTCATTTTTTTTCAGACAAGCGAACAGCAGAGAGAGAGAGAGAAAACGATCGCATCAAAAAGAACCCGGCTGCAATGAAATGATATATTTTATTCGTCTTGTTATAACAATTATCAGTCGATGGAATCAAAGCGCCGAAAATCCCTAAGCACAACAAACTAGGTGAATTTCCCATTGTTTGAGATATATTAATAGTTGGCTTCGATGTGGTTTTTATCGTCGTTTTCTTCTTTGCTTTTCTAGCGAGTGCTTTAGAAAATGTAATAATCTGTTGTTAGTCTGCATGGAAAAAAACGAATGAATTATGAAAAATTTATGCAGCAAACGAAGGAAAAAGAAGAAGAAGAGGCAATTTTTGTGTTCCGAAACGAGCGTCAATGCGTACGGCGGTCAATGTACGAAGCATCGAGTGTGTACATACTATATAGGAATATATGCTGAACACACAAACCGATTATTATTATTATATTCTGCTGCTCATATTGCTGTGTGCTCGGCTTTATTTTGTTGAATTTTTTTTTTTTCATTTCTTCGTTCAACTTTAATGTTTCATTACTTTGCTTTGCTTTCTCTGTACGCCCGTACACACTTGGCTTGGTCGGTGTGTACTGCTCTGAAAAAAGTTCTTGGCATTATAAATTTTAATTCTATAATAATTAAAATAGAAAGAGAAACAAAGTTAAGACATAGAGACGCACAAATAAGTGTGCTGCACACAGTAGCAGCCAGCAGCAGCCGCCGCCATCGCAGTAGTAAAAGTAGTTTAGTACGGAGAGAATATGTTAATGTGTCTCGATGCATACGTGTGGATAAGTAATAAGATGTTGAGTCGCCGGCCATGATAGAGAGCGCGACTGGCTCTGGATCCGAGACACACATACCACTCAGAAAAGGAAAGAAAATGTATATGAAGGGAAAAATCAACGGCAAAGAACAAAAACGCAACCGTATCGTTTTGTCTCAATCAATGCAATGAAAATTTTATATATATATATGTACCAATACGGAACCGAGGCCCCACACTCTCGCTCGCACACATACATCCAGTTAACAATTTATAGTTTCGCTACTGTCTAGCGCACTTGACCAGTAGCACTGCTGATTGCAACTTTGTACAAACATATGCATCATAATTCATAATAGATTTCATTCATTCGTTTCGCTTTTCGATGGGATTTATTCTTCTCTTCACTATCTGCTGTTGTTGTTAATGTGTTGCTTTGTTGTTGTTGTTTTTTTTTGTTCTGCTGCTACTTGTTTTGTTTGAAGGTTTTCAGTCATTGTAAAGCCGATGACTCCATTCGAGACCCCTTTCCGTTCCAATGCATTCTCTCTCGCTCTCCCTCAATATATCTTAGCTTAACATTTATATTGGATTTCCCCATTTCAATCAGCTTAACTTTTGTTTGCCATACAAGAATCATTTCCATCCGAAACGAAAGATATGAAACTGCACACACACTGTTTCTGTTTCTCTTTAGCTATTATTATTGTCTTACCATTTGTATTGGGCAAGTAGCCATATTGCTCAGGTGATTTACGTAGTGTTCGATGTGTTTGATCCAATGCCAATTTGATGATTGGCGCAACCAATGTTTGCGGACACTTTCTGCAAAAGAAGAAGAAAACAACAACCATTTTAATTAAAAAGATAAAACATAAAATGAACCATAGGTTCATTTTGAGGTGCTGGCAAAATATGAAGTAACACACATACACTTGAATATCTATTTATAGACTTGTGTGTTATCGAATTAATTACACCAGCGTTTTGATTCGATATCGGATATCGAACCGTTTGTATATCAATTCGATGACATTCAATCTAATATTTACAGCATGTTGCAAAGAAGCAAGAAAAGAAAAACTGCCAACCAATTATTTATTTTTGTATGAAAGAAAAATAATAATAGTAATACCAATATTTATGTAAGATTTGAATGACATTAACTATATAGAGGAAACGAATGCTGGATTTTATTCTCATGATCCGATTTCAGAAAACAAAAAACCAATTACTTGGAAAAACGCTCTTGAAACGTGTGGTTGAGTTTTGCATTTGATACCATCGAATATTTGTAAATATTTAATATTTACAAAAAAAATATTCATGAGATAAATCAAACATTCAGCATTTGTTTAGATTGATGGGTGAAAGAAAAACAAATATGCGCCAGCAACAAATAATCGGGAGAGTTTGGATTGAAAAGCACGATCTAGTTGATTGGAATCGGGTATTGTGTATAGTTGGGTTGAGTTGATTTTCAAATTAAAATGTTAGCATGTTTGTGTGTCTGGAAATGCCCATCAAATGCAAATTCGAGAGTGAGAAACGAAAGAGAGTTGAATGCGCACAAAATGGATAGAGAAATGACTAACAACAATAGGCTTATGGAGTGGTCATACACAACAACAGCAAGAACACAAAAAAAAAAAAAGTATGTACTCGGCTGCTGCTGGGCCAAATACGGAACACGATACATGCCGACAACGGAAACAAAACAACTAACACGACAAGAGATAGGCGAGAGACCGAGAGATGTGAAGCTAGAGAGCATCGTGTAAAGGAAGATATGGCGACAGCAGGACACCCGATAATTACTGAGAAAAAAAAAATAGCCAAAGTGTGAGGTAAAGACACTTTGTTGATGGCAACAAAATACCTCGACATGGAATAATCAAAGAGACGAACATGTTCGAATCAAGAGGTAATTAAAGAAGAGAGAGAGAGAGAGAGAGAGAGAGAGAGAGAGAGAGAGAGAGAGAGAGAGAGAAAAAAGGAAAAGCAAATAACTAGCCATCCATGATTGCATGGCATGCACAAGAAAGCCAAAACCAACCAACGTACCAAGTCTATCTAAGACTGTTTGCTCTATAGTTCAAATTGCATTTTCGAACGTTTCGAATTTATGGACACGATTCGAATGAAAATGTATCAGCTGTTAACGGCGCTGATGTGCAAAGTGAAAATATTGCTCGATCGACCCCAACAAGAAACAATGCCATCGATTTCTGTGACTGTGACTGTGTGTGTGTGTGTGTATTTCTCTTCATCTTGTTCACAATGTGTGTCTGAACCACTTGCCACAAACACTCAATCGCGCTCTCAATTCTCTTCGTGGCTATTTGCTACATCGCAACAGAGGTGAAGTATAACATTCAATGAATATTCATGGATTGAACAGTTAACGATTCTTTCTCTGTTTCTTCGTCTTTTTTTCTCTCGCTCTCTCTCTCTCTCTCTCTTTGTTCATTATGAGCCGTTTCTTCGTCTATAATTATCATTGTAGATGTATTCATCGATTACGTATACACTGAGTGATTTGTTTATCTTGGTAATGATGAAAAAATAAAAAATAAATATGAAGTGATTCCAAGCATGAAGGGGCTGCTGCATTCATTTTCCATTCTTAGATTGGCTCTCTTTCTCTATATATGTATAATACACCATATGTGGTGCAAGTACATCGAACGTTTGTTGCGATACGTTAATTAGTTTTACACCAAAATCGTTTAATAGAAACTAACAAATTTTTGTGTTGCATTTCACTAGAACAAAAACAAAATGCTCATTTCACTAAATGCGCACGTTAAGATGGTCTTGTTGCAAAATGATAAGCATTTATCACGGGCGTTCACATGATGCGTGCTTTTGTGTTGCCTTTTTTGTCGTTTCTCTCCCATCCGGAAGTAAAACCGAGAGATGAACATGTTTACAACGGTTGTCATGTTAGTTGCGATCGGTTGTGAATCAAGTGACAATCAAAACGCCCACACTCATACGCAGCCACAGCCAATTCTTTGTCATAGTTGCCATTCAAATTTCGTTTTAACATTGGGTTTTTGGCAAATCGAATAATCACTAATTGTATCAGCAGACAATACAAAAACCGAAAACTACTCCGGCTCATTGATATTCGATAAAAGTCACATTGATTTGTTGTGCGCCGTGCACACACACACCGTGGATTTTGCGATTCGTGAACACACCACATCAAACATATTGCATAAATTATTCTGTGAACACGGTATTTACTCTTTCCCTTTGTCTCTATCGCTTTCCGCATCTCTCTCTCTCTCTCTGCTTCGATTTAGTGTGCTCAAGATTCGGATAACAATGTGCCATTAATCAAATTCCAGCCCATGGTTGAGTAGTGGTTCGGTCGTAGCCGGCTCGTGCATAATACTTGTCACACACAAAACAGAACCGAACAACGACGAGGTAGAGAGAGAGCGAGAGAGAGCGACAGAGAGCGAGAGAGCGAGAGCGAGAGAGAGAGCGAGAGAAAGAGAGAAAACAGTTCCGAACATTCGCATTGAAAAACGAGCATCTCATGTGTGTAATTTCTCTGCGTGGGTATGTTATAAATAATGTGGTTATGGGCGCGGACCACGAAAATTGTTTCATTTGTACAGCATTTTACTCGGGCTCTATCTCCACACAATGTACTCGTCTCGTTTTTTTTTGTTTCGTTTTTTTTCTTCTTTTCGCTGTATGTCGCGTACGATTTATGTGTGTGTGCATTGCACGCTGTAAGTCATGTTGCATTGCAATGCATTGTATCGGCATCTTTTCCGAGCGGCATTTAGTGGTTTCGATTTAATTAAATATCATTCCATCGGATTATTCTCCGATTATTTGCAATTGGATAATGTGGCTTGGTGCGAAACGAATGCATTGACACGTTGCCAGAGAGCGTTGGGGTAATTGAAAAACGTGCACACATCAAATTTCGAAGATAAGTTGAATTTATATAGAAATCAAAAGGAATATTGATAAAGTTTGTATACGGAGGAGTATCTGTGTGGAATCTGAATGGAAATATTTATTTTTACAATGTTTTTTTTTGTTCGAGCTATTGCTTTGGTTTGGATTCATTTTTCCTTTGTGTCTGATTCAAGAACTTGTTATTAATTCAATTAAACTTTTTCATGTGTTTTGGATACAAGAATTTCGGCTGTCTGTTTCAAGCTCATGAATTAATTCATTCGAAACAATTAGCGAAATGTTGGTATTTCATCGAGAAGAGAGCTCGCGGCCCAAATGATTTCACATTTTCAAAGCATTGTCTGCATGAATCACATCACCATAAAATGTGTATGTTGCTTGAGTGCGTAATTGGCAGGCAGCCGAACGACTCACATAGAACAGCAATTGGCGAACAACAACAACAACAAAAATTCTCCTTGGCCTTTATTTTGTCGAATTACAGCGATTTAGTTGCATGTCACACGCCTTCTCTCTGTCTATCTCTTGGCTTTTACTTCGTACTCCGCAATAATGTAATGATAATGACATTGTAAATGGTGGATTAGAATTTTTAATTAAACCATTTGCTGTCACACCTCGCAGACGTCGTCGACAAACATCGTTCACATGGCACAAATTCGTTATTGTGTCACACACATTTCGCCGTTTACCGACACATTTCTTTTACGTTTCCATCTTGTTTTCCATTTTTTTTTATTTGTTTACATTCATATGTGCCCACGACTCGTTTCTATCACATTCGACCCATATTTCTTTCAGCATTTTATGACAAAAAAATGCACAAAAAAAAATTATGCACGCGGTACAGATGCATTCTTCGCAGAAGCGTGTTCCGGGGAAAAAGCCAGAGAGGGAGAGATCCAACGAAATGATGTTATGTAATTTGTGCAAAATATGCAAATGACATTCTGGAATGCAATTTGATCGCTTTATTTATAGCCTTTATTATCTGGTTATACCGGGCGGGAAAGCCGTCACCATCAGACGGCGTTGATTTTTATGGCTTAAAAACGACAATTTTTTTCGTTCCTCCATAGCTACTAGCTAGTTGGTATGGATTCAATGAAGCGGTAAATGAGCAACGGAATCGTATTTCCAAATGAACACAAAACTTCATAACAAGATTCATTTTTTGTTTTTTGTTCTTTTCTCAACCCCTCCGCTCGTTCTTATTATCCTGACCAATGAAAAACAGGTTCATATTTCGTATATTTTGACTTAAAACATGGAAAATTTTCCAATGAAAAATGAAGAAAAAATGTGAAATGAAATCGAAAATAATTGATAAGATTTCCGGAAAAAAACTTGGAACACTTTCAATCTGAATTATTCACTCGACGGGTTGATTTAAAATTCGGGTTTCAAAGTGTATTGACCTGAACTTTAATTGTTGAATGGAAAAAAATACTCTAAAATATTGGTTTAGATATCGATATTTTCCCCAGTGATTTCAATGTATCTATGGATTTTTAGTGTTTTTCTGTGTATTAAAAGGAGTAGTTGCTGCAGTATCATATACATATTGAACGTAATACGAATAAAAATATGAAAATGAAGAAGACGAAAAAAAAAACGACTGAACTTACGGCGATCGATATGAAATGACGTCGATTCACGTAAACAATTCGGCGGCCAATGGAAAAAGTAAAAAGTGAATGACGGTAAAATGAATGGGAAGAAAAGGCGTAACCTGTCAACGAGTGTATTGAAATGATAATATGGGCCGTCATTAAATTTTGATAACATTGCACGCACATGTCTTATGGACATTCCATTATGGATATAATCGCTTGTTAAGCAACTCCATTTGTTTTTGCTAACAAAATCATTCTATTCGCTTGTGCGATGTTTACAATGTGATAAACAAAACAATCGAAAAGCCAACGCCGAATGGTTCGAAAACACATCGCAACCGTTCGCCATTGTGTCGTCCGACTAACGAATCGGATGCAATTTAGTGCGCGATGACTGCCAAGAGAAAAACTACCACCATCATCATAATCATTTCCATTTACTACGTAACAAAAGCAAAAACACAAGAAATTCTACAGCGATTTTACGATGTCGGCATCAATGACTCGACTCGACTCAGTTGCACTGTTTGCTGAATATTCGTGTGTGAATATTCATTCGGCAACAAACAATGAACATAACTTTCTGAAAATGAGCGTCACATAAAACTATACACTCATGTACGAGGACGTCGTCGTCGTCGGCTAGAACGTAAATAAATTATTTTTATCGTTTCTTATGCGATCTATCGCGCTGAGCAAGCGTTTTTTTATGTTTCTTCCTTCTTTCTCTCTCCCTCTCTCTCTCTCTCTCTTTCTCTCATTCATACTCTTCTCCCCACAATACATACACACAAACACTCACACACCAAGTGCGTAGATTGCGTATCACAAACTAAACATAAGGCAAATACAGTTAATGCAGTTGTTTATTTGAGTTCTATGGCAATGTTTTTGGGCATGGGTGTTGATGATGATGGTTGAGCATAAGCATGTCGCCGAAAGAATTACATGTGTCCCAAAAAACATTGATCGGATGCTTCGAACTGAAACGATGCGGGATGTAATGACACTTTGGTTTCGGTTATTATTGTTTTTTCTCCTCAATTTCTGCATTGTTTTGATTGGAATTCGATGTGTAAACCATGCTGTGACACTCACAACAACATAATTGATTCCGAAGTGTTTTTGTTTTCTTCTGATTTTCATACACATGATTGCGGCAATAATTGTATCCCGATATAGTATGTATTTGTAATACTCGATAAAAGAATAAAGAAAAGAAAAATCCAACAAAAATGCGTACGCAAATAATACTTACTTATCGCCCAAATATTGAATCATCCAGTCGATAACAGCTCCTGAAATTTCGGTCTCTTCGAGTGTATAATTTGGTACGCGCACCGGTAATTGGTCCGTTGGATCAACATTTTCCGCAAAATATTCCAAAAACGAGCGGTAAATTTCGAAATTTTCCGTTGTACTGTCGGTGCTGACGATGTTTCGGGCAAAATCCGTTTCACTCGTAGACGTTTCCATTGTTCCTCGAAGTTGTTTTTTTTTCTTCTGGTCGTAGTCGTCGTCGCGATCGTTATGATTCACGTGTGTCATTAAATGCACAATGATTCGTTGTTATTATTTGTTTTCGTCTCTTCTTTTTAATAATTCTTCCGTCGCGAGCACCACTGGGCTTAATTTTTTTCTTCGTCGAAATAATGGTTTAACTAAAGAAGATAATATTTAACAACTTTATTACGAGCGAATGATTGATTGTATATTGTCGTTGGTCTTAATGCAATTGTTTCACTGTCTCAAGCACACGCACAGTTGAATTTCAAATTAGATTCTCGAAGCACACAGGGCCACACGAAACAGCTTTACAATTTATTAGCACTGTAATTATTCATTTGTTCACTGTTTCACGATTTGATTCGAATTAAATTGTCAGAATTTTTCGGTATCTCAATCATTCAGGGCACACTTTTTACACTGCATGAAAACTATTATTTTTTCTTTTGGTTTTTCGTTTCAAAGAAAATATACACACGGAAGGGGGGAGAATAAACTACAACGATTCATAACCTGTGTTTTGCAACAATGTCACTGATAAAATGGGTGTTAAACAGAACAAATTCGTCCAACAAAAATCGTGAATAACATCTAATCAGCTAAATGGTTCGTCATCTCATCATCATTCAATGTCAAAGAAAAATTAAATTAAAAAAAAAAAACGATGTGAAAAAGAGCTGAAAATAGAAATACAAGATTAGAGGTAATCTTTCTTTCGGATGGAACATTGACGACAAACAGCAACAACTATAAGCCAAATATATACAATAAATTTGTGTAACAAATGTTTCGTTCTGCACAGTATCGAGCTGAACGAAAGAGAGCGCGAACGAGGGAGATTTCGTGCGGATCACGTTCGTGATGCAGCGAGCTAGAGTAAGAATTGAAAAATTGCCGATGTCTTGTTAGTCGATTCAATAAACGAATTGCAGAGCATTGTAAACAGCCAACGACGAAAAACCAACGTAAACATTCTCGACAACAACGACGACGAGAATATAAACGTGCACAAAACGATTGTTTCGCAATTTTTGCTACAATTTTTTTTTATTCCTTTCTCTACTCTTCGCTTGTTTCTGCTCTCTCTCTCTCTCTCTCTCTCTATCTCTCTCTCTCTCTCTCTCTCTCTCTCTCTCTCTATCTCTCTCTCTCTTTCGGTGCGTTGTTTTTCATTTGCTTGCTTTCGTTGTGTTTATTTTTTCCGTGTGAGGTTCGTTCGCCGGTCATGTTGTTGTTCACTTTTTTTTTTGGTGGATGGCATATCTAAACCGCTACCGTTCTACACTCATCGTCACTATATAGCACTTTTATCGTCTTTAACCTTTCGACGCTTCTCCGAATTATAGCATACGACGACGAAGAAGAAGCAGTTGTTGTTGTACCATATACACACACATCGTATCGCACATTTTGAACGTCATTTTGTGCGCTTTACGATTGAAAAACGCGTCGAATGGAGCAACAACAAGGGAATAATCAGTAGAAGAAAAATAAAAGTACATACAACATCGCCATCATCAAGCAAGTACAAGTGACAACAATGGCCCTTGTACATGGCGATTTACGATATAGAACAAGAAATGAGCACAGCAACAATATAACCAAATCAAAACACCGAAAGGCAGCACGCACGAGGGAGAGAAAGAGAAATAGAGAGAGAGAGAGAGAGAGAGAGAGAGAGAGAGAGAGACGAAGAAAGAGTAGCAAACGACAACGTTGGAACAGCATTGTTGATTTGACTTTTCTCTGTGTCTTATCCTCTTTAAACTTTGAGGTGATTCCATTTCGTACGCGTATAAATTCCATTTGTATGCTCGCGGGTGTTTTTCTTCACTCTCTTTGAATCACAACGAGATGCAACCGAGAGAGACACAAACAACAAAGCATATATTATTTGTCTTGAGTGAGTTCGAAACTGTTTGCCACTTTGGAAATGGAATACTAGAAAATAGACATCTAGAATAAGAATGCGTTGTTCTAATGAAAACAACACACACACACACACATGCACGCACACAAATCAATCTGACTAGGGCGGACGTTGTCAGCATGTTTTGACTGCTTTTCACTCGGTTTTTATAATTTAACGCGTGCACGAGTTTCCAAACTCTATTGAACTTTGTGTTTATTTTTCTATTAAAATTAATTTTTCATTTCCTTTTTTCTCCCGTCATTCCGGTAATGGCCGTGCATTTCTTTTATTTGGTGCTTCGGAAACCAATGTACATTGCATGGAATTTCATTAGAACAAACTCGACAATGAGTTGAGAAACTCTCGCACGAGTTGCATTCGCTTGAACATTACAAACACACACACACACACACACACACACACACACACACACACACACACA